ACCATGCCAAGGGAAAAGTACGCGGGGGCAATCAAGTCAAATTGTGTTGTCGACGCACACCGCACCACACACCACAGCGCACGCAGAGTCCGGCCGGCCGGCCCGCGGCCCGCTGCTGCCCCCGGCTGCCCCCGGCCCGCGGCTGAGTCGCCCGAATCACTTTTATGTTGACGTCAAGCAAGTGGGAACCATTAACCTCCCGAAAAACGAGAAAGAGCGAGAAAGACCCCACGCCTGCCGGCCGACCGCTGGCGATTTGGCGCAGTAGTGTCGTCGCCGTAAGAAAATGAAATTCCCACGATGCGCCAGCGTCGGAAGGGTTGCCAACCAGCCAGCCTACGAGGCGACATTCGGGCATAGCAGGCAGGCTGATGTTGGCAACCCTTTTGCATCGAGGGAATTTTCGCATCCTAACGTGGCAACACTGGATTTGGCGCCTTTCCCGCCGAACAGACGGAAAAGCAGTTTAGTGGGCCAGCCGCCTCTCCTTCCGCTTCCTCCTCATCAAAGTTTTTGTCGCCGGCGATCGGGGAAAATGAACAAATAAGGAAGTGGGGAAATGGCACTGGTCCGTCAAGTCGCCGTGGGGGTTCTATGCGGCGCGGCGCTCTTTTAGTTTCAGGGGGCGCGGCCACGCGGCCACTGACTCGCGGGTCTTGGCCTGCTAAGGGACAGCCGCGCCGGCCGAGGTGGACGGGCTGGCCTGGCACACGTCGGTCGCGCGTGTGGGTCTCGATCAGTCGGTTCAAAAACTTTTCCATTCAAATCGATAAAGGATTAGGTTTAATGACTGAGTCCACCTCGGCGACAAACCCGACACGCAGGTGTCCTTCGTCGGCTGGGCGACGACGCTCCGCGACCCGGCTCGTCAAACACTCACACACATACATTCACTCACACATACACACACACACACGCTTTGCTTTCGCTCTCCGCCGCCACTGCACGCTGCAGTCGAGAACCATAACCTGCGCCTGCCTGGCTGCCTGCCTGGCTGGTGCCGGCCGATGCGGTAACCGCTGGCCGCCAGCCCGGGATTGCCGCCCGCCTGGCACTGGCACGCGCCACCGTGATCTTGGACTTGATCTTGGCGGCGAAAGGGGGCGCGGGGGAAAGGGGGGGGGGAGGGGCGCGCGGAGGGGGAAGCTGCAGGATGATGACACGAATGGCGTGAGCGGCATGCGCTTAGCGCGCTTCGCGCTTCGCGTTGAGTAACGGAGTGCCGATCATCGAACTAAGCGCTGTTTGGAATAAACTGCCCAATCCGCTTGCTCCCACGGGCAAAAAAAAAAACAAAAAAAAAAAAACATGCTGGCCAAGCTGAATTGAAATATTTGGGCGTATAATTTATCGACCAGTCAAATCCAATTTTGGTAACTGTGCAAATCGACCATCTTTTTAAGCTTCTTTCTTAAATTATTTCTTCTTTTGACGCAAGGATCCAACGTCCTCGCGAAATTCTCTTCCTCGAATACCGGCGGTGGTACCGGCCGCCCCGCCCCACTCCGCCCCGCCCACCGGGGCATTGCGCCACGTTGGGCAGCTCTTCCAGCGTGCTTCCAGCTCCAGCTCCGCCTCGGGGCTCCAGGTCCTCCGGGTCCTCCGGCCGGTGAAGGGGTCCTGAGGGTCCAGCCGGAATGCACGTGTCGCAATACACATTGTGGGGCGCGGCGCGCGCGTTTTCCGGATCAAAAAGTGCATTGCGACATGGCGTCTTTTACGGCCGTTTGCACCAGGCGAGTCTGGAGAGCCAGCCGCGCCACACCGGGCGCAGCGGCCACAGCAGCGCCACTTAGCAAAGGCCCCCAGCCAGAAAAAAAGAAGAAATTAACGAGTTATTCTTTTAGAAATGTGGGACGTTGTAGGCGCATGCAGGAGCTTAGTCTTCTCTTCTTCGCCATGCCCGAAAGAAGTGCGAGCGAGAGGGGAAAGAAGAAAGGCCATTACTGTGCCGCCAAGGACGCGGCGGCGGCCGGAGAACGTTAGAACGTTCCAGAGAGGCGTACCGCGCGCCGCGTACCGCACACCTCGCCGTTAATGATCTGCCCGAGTATGACCTCTGTGCATCTATGATGGCGAACATCCTGGCGGAGAAAATTATTGTCTGTGTGTGAGTGGTTATCACGCTCGCCTCAAGCCTCTCACCTAGCTCGTTTAAGCGACGCCATGGCGACGCCGAGCCTTGCCGCCCGCTCCGAAAAGGAGCGATACATTTTTTTGGCCCCACCCCGAGACCTGTAGACTAGACTGCTCCCGAGAGTCCTTTTCGGCGCTCTGTCTCTCTCGCGCTCACGGGCGCCCTAGGTGCGAGAGAGACAGAGCGACGAAAACGACTCTGCCGGTGGACCTGGCTGGTTTGACGCACCGAAGGCGAGAGATGTCGCTCGACCTAGCCCGCATGGCAACTGGACCCGCCGCCAGCCTGTAGGATTAACCTACGTCCTTTACCGTTTTGTTTATGCTTATATTTTCGCATAAAAATGTTTGTGGTGTGTCGCGCGCGGCGCGGCGGCGGCGGAGCGCCAAATTCGAACAACTCGGCTCGCTTCCGCCAGGACCGCCAGGGGTCGGCGTCTGCGGCGCCTCGGCCCGCGGGCGTCGTGATGCAACACGGCCTCGATTGGGGCGCGCTGCACCGGGACGCACCGGGACGCACCGCGCTGCACCGCGCTGCACCGGGACGCACTTATTTGCAGATCACTCGCAGTGGCGTCACGCTGATTGATGCGCGCGTTGCGAGTGCTGCCAATAGTGCGAATAGTGCGAACAGTGGCGTGGAACGCGGCAGGCGGAACGAGACGCGCCTTCTTTTATCCCCGCGACACACTAACCCGCTGCACCCGCTGCACCCGCGGCAAGGAGTTGCAGTGGCGCATCTTCTCTGCAGTTTACTGCAAAGCGGGCCACCCCCGGAGACTTGAACGCAGGCCGCGGCCCACAGCGCGACTAGCCGTCTTCGTCACTCTGTCCCTCTCGCACTCATGGGGCGCACCGTTTGGGTGCGAGAGAGACAGAGGGACGGAAGCGACTCAGCAGCCACGCCGACGCACTGCTTCGTGTCTAGCCAAAAGCGACAGTCGCAGGGGGAAGCTTCTGGACGACTCTGGAGTTACTCTACTGTAGTGATCGCCTGGAGTGCCATGTCAGTGCCATGGCAGTGCCATGCCGAGCGTGCCCACTGTCCGGGCTAAGTTTAGACTGGAGAAACGCGTGTAGAGTGCCTGACCCCGCCGGCCACGCTGTGTGAGTGTGCGTCGCGAAACTTTCCAGCCATTCGTCACATCGTTAGAGCTCTGGGCCGTGACGAGCTGCCCAAATAAACAAGAGTGGCTCGATGCTCGTTGAAGTCTCAGGTCTCCGGCATTCTGAGAGGCACTGCCGCGGCGCGCTAGGCGTATCAGCCGCCAATGAAACACGGCAGCAACCGTTTCGGCCGCCTTCGGTCTTTTTGCCGAGCCGTCGCGGCTTTATAGGTGCATATATCAGTGAGGAGCCATCGGTAAGTGCTCCAGCCAATCGTTTATTTTTAGATCACCCTGCAGCAACAAGTAAGCGCAGCTACACGATCTTTAAATAAAAATAAAAGAAAATACCGAGTCTATCACGATGCAACCGTACCCGGCTCATCAGAGGAGCCGAGACTCCATTTAATGCCCCGAGCATAGTCATTTTCTTTTATCACTTTTACGTGGTTTTTATCCGTCAACAGACACTAGCTTCACGGTATGGATCCTGACGTCACTGTTGCAATAAACTACCGCCAAGCAGACATAAGTCATGTCTTCCTGCATATGATCGGCGGAGGCGTCCACCCTTTATTCTTTTTTCTTCGCTGCTCCCAACGGAACGTCTTAGATTGCGGCAAAAGAGAGATACAAGATCGGCTGTCCCTCTCCAGGAAGCGAGGAAAATGCAGAACGGGTTTCGCGTGGAAGTCGCGCCGAGCGGCGGCAGTGGCGGCAGTTAGGCCCCATCTATTTGTTTTTTTTTTTTCGGGATAATGATTCAGAGCGGAAGGGATGGCACGGCCGGTATGAGAAAGAAGACAAAAAAGAAAGGTTGCACCACGCCCCGGCCCGCTTACCCTAGACAGGACCCAACCGAAACCGGGTTGCCTACGAAAAGGTGCGGCGTGGCGGGGCGTGGCGGGGCAGCGACACAGGCGACACGCACGCCTGGCTGCCCGGCCGGTAGGCAACCCTACGTGCACGCCAGCCTGCACGGTGACCTAACCTAACCCGGCGAACGCAAGGCGTGGTAGGCAACCCAGCGACGACGCCAAGGCGTGGCAGGCAAAACAGTGACAAGGTATGGTGGGCAACCCAGAGGTGGCAAGGCGCGGTAGGCAACCGCATAGCCATATTCAAAAACAAAATAATTCATCCACAGAAAAAAAACAGTCTCTAAACATTTTACACTTGAAAATATACGGATGACCTTACACACTCAAGGGAGACAAATATTATTCTACAGGAGGAAAACAAAAACTTTTTGAATGTTTTCACCGCCCCCCCCCCTCAAAAAATAAAAATAAATAAATAAATGAAAACTGGGCGAGGTTGGCTATACTGACTAACTCTTGAAGCTACTTGAATGTTTTCGACGCCCCTAAAAATATTCGAAATGAAAGCTGGGCGAGGCTGGCTATACAGTAACTCTCTCTTGACACTACTTGAATGATTTCGCGAGGGGGCCACATCCCCCGTAATCCTGTGTACAAATTGGCTGGTAATCTCTGGTAATCCATGGCGTAATCACGTAATCCTTGACAAAATTCTGTCATTTTTCAACGTTTTTAGTCATTTTTCAACGTTTTTGAGCTATTTTTCAACGTTTTCGAACCAATTTGCGAAAATTTCACGCGTAATCCCTAGTAAATTTCCCGTAATCCCGTAATCTTGTGTACGCCTGAAATGAGAGTGGTGGCCCCCTCGTGATTTCGACGCCCCCTAAAAAGTGTTGAAAATGAAAGCGGGGCTAGGTTGGCAACTGTCACTCACTCTTGGGCCGGCGGCCGTGCTTGCCGTAGTCGTCGGGGCGCGTGAAGAAGCGGTCCACCACGCCGTTGACGGTCGTGGGCCCGTAGCTGGACACGGTGACCCGGGGCGCGCGGGCTCGCGGGGCTCGCGGGGCTCCCTGGGCTGCTTGGCGGCCTGCTTGGACGGCGCGAGGGACGGGTCCGAGGTGGGCACTCGGATGTGCTGCTGGGACAGCCATCCCCAGAAGCTCGGGAACTGCGGTAGATCCTTCATGGTGTCGTCCGGCGCACACTAACACAGTCCGCACTCACACACACTCGCACTTGGATCGCACCGCACTGGCACTCTGTTTGTGTTCAACCCGGGGAACCGGTGTCGGCGTTGACGGCGTTGTCGGGCGTTGTCGCGGCCCCGGCAAGGTCTTGGTCAAGCGCCGACGGATTCGGCTCGGCTCGGCTCCACGCGGCTCGGCTGCCTCGTTCGCCGACTGATCGGCGCGCGGTCAGAAAAGAGAATAACTGTGCGGACTATGATAGGGAGGCGAGGCGCCCGATGGCCAGCACCTCCCCACCACGCTCCAGCCCCTGCCGCTCCCCCGCCCCGCCCCGCCCCGCGCAGAATCCCGCCCGTTCACCTGCTGCTGCCCGCACGGCCCGCACCAGCCCGCACTCGTCCCCGCCGGTACCGGACGGCGGGCGGGGGAGGGGAGGGGAGCGGCGTCAGCGCGCTCTGCCATTGGCCGAGCCGGGCGCACTGATACCGAGAAGTACCCGGTGAGTGCAAGGGAACCACGGCCGGCGATGCGTCACGTCGCACTCCAAATTCGCGTGCAGGTGCATGCAGTGTGAGAACGGGGATTACCTACGCCCGCAGTCCGGCGTCAGTCCTCGAGGACCCAGTTCCTTGCCCCCGATATGGAAATGGCAGGGAAAAAAAATATGCGTCCTTAAGTGGGATTCGAACCCTGACCCTACTCACTCGACTGCGTAGCGCGCTGCACGCTAGCCAGGCGCAGTGGGCAGCGCTTTCTCAGGGAGTTTGAATGGCTGGAAGTCGCACGGTGGCGGCCAGGCGCGCCGAGCACGCGGAAGGGCACATGCATTTCAGGCGTGCCAACGCAGCCGCCTCTGGAAACTAAAACTACATCTCAATCGCGGCGCTGGGTGATGCGGCCCTTGGTCCTCCAGTTCTGCCATAAGTGGGCAAAAAGTCTCACTGTGCACCAGTGTCGAAAGGGTTAACCTCAGCGTGCCTGCTAGGCTTTTTCGCTTCGTAAGTGGCAGCACTGGCTTGGCTATCATTGGCGTCGAACAACTGATCTAGTCCGAAACAGTGGTTCGTCGCCCTGCCTCTCTCGCACTCTTACGGCACGCCCCACGAGTCCGAGAGAGACACGACGAGGGCACTGTCCAGAATCAGCCTCCTTGCGGGAGTAAACAACGGGTGCCCACCAGGCCCGACCAGGCCCGACCAGGCCGTACCAACTGCGCAGCCAGAAAGTGGTGTGCTGACGTTCGCTCCTCGATGATCAGAGGGATTGGCGAGTCGAATCGGCGCCTTCTGGGTCACACGCTAACGGCGGGAGGTAGTGTCATTATCATATCGGCGGGTGGATCCGCGTTTTATGGAGTGACCTGCGTCCTTTTATCGCCAGCGAGTAACTTTCCGCGCGCGGGCGAGACGGGGCGAGACAGGCAGCCCTAGGGTGGTCCAAAAAAAAGTGAACTTGCTCGGATCGTCCAACGCCGCCCGGATTAGGATTCTACATCGAAAAGTATGAAATACGTGTTTTTCCTTTTTTGAAAAAATGTTTTTAGGACCTCCGCAGAGCGCTTAAAGTTTTTGTCAGTGCTATAAATAGGAAAAAATCGTAACTTGGTCATTTTTTGACCGATTTTCAAAAACGAAACGGGGATTTGTTCGTTTTTTTAATGCTTATTACGAAAAAAAATATGCCCAACCCCCATTTTGGTTTGCCTAACTTTCAGGGGCAAAACATGACTAAATTTCGGCCCAAATTGGCAATAGTTTCGGTTTGTAGGCCGCTTCAGCCACTCCAAGTCCACCCTGTCAGCATGGCGGGGTGCCTCCACCACAAGGCAAGCCCATGAACAGGAAATTTGGGGTGCCGGGGGCAATTTGCCTACCTCCCAGGGCATCAAATTGTGGATTTTTTCGAAAATCTATCAATAGTGATGTTTTTGGGCCCTCTGGGCACTCAGATGGGCCCCTTTCACACGGTTTGATACCCACAATACGTGATATGAACGTTATGGACGTTGCTGACGCGAGGGACCGCAAACCACGCAAGGCCACAAGAAAAGCCATCTAAATGAAGGAATTTTCTGAATTTTTACGTTTTTCTGGTCCTGAAAGGTAGGCATGAGGTCCTCAACAGTCCGTTCCTATTTTTTGTACTTTTTACGTAGTTTGGGTACCGAACCGTGTGAAAGGGTGCCCATGTGAGTGTCCAGAGGCCCCATGAGACATCACTATTGATAGATTTTCGAAAAAATCCACAATTTGATGCCTCTGGGAGGTAGGCAAATTGCACCCGGCATCCCAATTCTGTTCATGGGGCTTGCCTTGTGGTGGAGGCACCCCGCCATGCTGACAGGGTGGACTTGGAGTGGCTGAAGCGGCCTACAAACCGAAACTATTGCCAATTTGGGCCGAAATTTAGTCATGTTTTGCCCCTGAAAGTTAGGCAAACCAAAATGAGGGTTGGGCATATTTTTTTTCGTAATAAGCATTCAAAAACGAACAAATCCCCGTTTCGTTTTTGAAAATCGGTCAAAAAATGACCAAGTTACGATTTTTTCCTAATAATAGCACTGTTAAAAACTTTGAGGGCTCTGCGGAGGTCCTAAAAATCATTTTTTCGAAAAAGGAAAAAACACGTATTTCATATTTTTCGATGTAGATTCCAAATCCGAGCGGCGTTGGACGATCCGAGCAACTTCATTTTTTTTTGGACCACCCTAGGCAGCCCGCTCGACCAGTCTAAATTGGACACCGCGTCCCCACCGTCTCTCCGTTCCCGCCGCCGGCGCGTCAGTCTTTCCCGGTGGAAATCCCTTTTCCATACCACACGCTTTTTCCCAAACGCCGCGCGGTGAGCCGCCGCCACCGCCGCCGCCGCCTGTGCGTTGAAGAGCCGCTTTTTTGTGTCAACACGCGAAAAACAAAACACACACACAGACGGACGCGCTTTTCGGCAACAAAGCAATGAGTATTTTCGAGGCGGATTCCTCGCTGGACGCGCGCGGCATATTCAAACAAACGCTCAAGCAGCAGCGCGCTCCTGTTTTTCAGCGGCCTCTCGTCCCGGGCGACTGGGCGACCGGGCGACCGGGCGACTGGGCCAGAGGGTAAGTAGTGGTGTGTCCGCGCTACGCCGCTTCGCCGCTACGCGTTATGCGGCGTGGCGACGCCGTGGCGACGGCCAGGATAGCGACGGCAAGCAGCGACAGCCGGAGCCAGCAGCAAAACCGACAAGCATTTTCCAGCGGCAAGGCCAGCGAGGGTCAAGGAGCGCATTCGCATTTTTTCCAAACCGCGCACGCCGCCCTGCTGGACGACCTGCTGGACGACGCCAGACCATGAGACGACGTCAGGAGCACTGTAAAATGGAGGCGGCGCACCAAGTACCCGCGCACCGCGTGCCGTGCCACCCCCGCGCCTTTATCTCTCTCCCTCTCCCCCCCCTCTCTCTCTCTCTGTCCACCACGTCTACGTCGGCGCCGCTTCATTCATGTCGCCGTGCTTTCCAATTGCTTGCGGGGGACAAATCTTCTTTTTCTCCTTCTTCTCCTCCATCTTTTTCTTCTTCTCCTTCTTCTCCTCGTTGTTCCCAGACCGCAAACCACCACTCGGAGCGTGCTTCCAGCCTCCAGCTTCCAATGTGTCCACCGCGCCACACCGGCCTTGTCACGCCGTGATATGGATTCCCCGCCCCATTGACGCCAGGCCGCCAGGCTGACGTCTATTTTTTCCCCTTTCCCCCCATTTTTCATTTTATTTATCACATTCTCCCTAACTGCCGTTTCCCCGCGCCAATCATTTTAATATTCCGCGGGCGGGATGGGTGCTAAATTTTAATCGGGTGGGCGCGCGGTGCGGGCTATTTTCAAAAAGCCCCGCTAGTGTCAGTCTTTGAGTTGGCGCGCCTTTGTGCGTGTGCGTGTGTGTGTGTGTGTGTGTGTGTGTGTGTGTGTCCACCAAATAGTGACGCACGGTGTGCCTCGCGATTGTGATCAGTGCAGCTCGCAGTACGTACTTCGGTACTTCCATTTAGTACCGACCACCCCGTCTGTCTGTCTGTCTGTCTGCCTGTCCGTTCGTCCGACCGCTAGTGTGTGTGTAAGAGGGAGAGAGAGAGAGTGTGTGAGTGTGTGTGTTTCCCGCAGGTGTATACGGTGGACGACTGCATTCGACCTTGCCACGGTGTGCAAGGCATCTCTCGCGTGATGTCGACGATCGCGGCACGCGGCACGACTCGGCACGACGCGACACGGCACAAGCAGCATCCAATTTGCAAAGCACCCTTTCTTATCCAGTGGCGGCGCGACAAACAAGGGCAGGCAAGAAGAGCGCCGCTCGGCCACGCTCGGCGCGCGGAGCCGCATTTCTGGAGCCGCCGGCGCCGTCCCCCTCGATGCCTCGAACCTGGAAGGCCTGGAAGGCCTGGAAGGCGTGCATGCGTCCCGGCGACGCTCCCAGCCTAACGCCCCCCGTCGTTGTTGTTGACGGAAAAGTACCGAACCGCGCACCCGGTCGAGTCCTTTCACCGCAAGCGGAAAACGCGGACATGCAGACAACCACCGTGATTCCACTTTTATTTTTAGTCGGACCTTTTCCCTTTTGTTTTTATGGTTTGGGGTATTTTTCCGCGCGCGCGCTCACCTGTTTTCACCGAAGCCTGCTGCTTGAACCTGAGGGACCGAAACGTGAGGAGGCTGGGCCGAAGACTGAGCCGAAGCCGATTAGAAGGCTCTGCGCGTTCTGGAATCCTCCAAGGGCTTCCGGAGCCTCGCGTCGCCATGGTAACCGACATGGTACGCCATGGTGCCGCCATGGTGCCGCCATGGTGCCGCCGTGGTACTGCTCCCGCGCACCCTTGTCATCGCCCTGCTCCGCCCTGCTCCTTTTGTAGCGCTCCAGCAAGTCCAGCAGCCACGCAGAAGCGACGCCGGCAAAACGAGGAGTGGAAGGCCGCGGCGGGTTTCCGAACACAGCACTTGACAACGGCAACATCTCATTACAGAGCGTGCATACCACACACACACAAACACATACACACACACACACACACACACACACACACACACACACACACACACACACGCACACACACACACACACACACACACACGCACTGGGCCCGTGCTTGAAGTATCGCACTACCGCCTCACGAAATCACAGCTCAGTGTCGCCAACCTTGCCGCCGCCAATCGGTACCGTAGATCACGGCGGTGAAATTTTTTTAATTTCGTCCTTGACGGCCTTGCGTC